TTCTCTAAAATTCTGAAAGAGTCAGATTTTGAAAGTTTTATTAAATTGGCTTAATTGAATGATGCTTCAATCTTTATTTTGTATGGGAGAGTTGGAACCAACCTATAGCTGATCCTCCAGAGGGTTGTTTTCAGAGGCAGTTAATCACATAGGAGCAGATTGCTCATGCTTCTCCCATGGAGCATCTGGTGGATTCAAATTTTTTTGCCTTCAGGATTATAGTGCAACTTCTTGCCATTAGGCCGCAAGAGCTCCCTGTTGTAAATAAGGTAAAGATCTTATTGCTTTGCTACACTTTCTTGTCAAGTCAGAACAAATTGATAGCGGAAACTCTGGTGAGTTTCTGAGGTTGGAGACCATGAATAACATAAGAGCAGAATGCCTATTATTCTTCCACAGACCTGCAAGGAAATTTGAGCAGCCAAAGACATGTGGCCTTTGAGTTCACAGTAGTTGTCAAAGAATTATTTAAACATATTTAATGTTCTATATACTATTTCTAGGGACCTTTGGTGGTCTAATGGATAAGGATGCATGCTGCCAACCCCAATAAAGGTGATTTGAATCCATCAGTTTCTCTTTGCGAGAAGGAAGGGCAATCTTCTTGTAATCAAAAGCCTCTGAATGCCCACTGGAGGGTCAGTTATGAGTCAGTTCTGACTCCATGGCCATGTATCAACAACAAACATCTACTATGTGCAAGACTAAGTCAGAAACGGGAGAGAGGGCACATTGGAAACTGAAAGTACCCATTTGAGTGACAGTGAATTAAAAAAAATTTTGTGAATTCTTTCTAGAGTCATACACTGGAAGGAGACAATGGACAGATGGAGCAATCAGACCACTGTAACGGACCTCATTCTACTGGGACTGTTCCACCACATCAAAGCACCCAAGATGCTCTTTACATTTATCTTTCTTGTGTTCCTTATAGCCCTTGTTGGTAATGCAATGATGATGATTCTTATTTGGTTGGATGCACGGCTTCATACTCCTATGTACTTCCTTCTGAGTCAACTTTCTTTCATGGACCTCTTATATAGCACTACTTTTGTTCCCAAGATAGCCATTGACTTCCTTTCTGGGAGAAACACTATCACTTTTATTGCCTGTGGAATTCAGATGTTCCTCTTCACGGCCTTAGTGGGAGCAGAGTGCCTTCTCCTGGCTGTCATGGCTTATGACCGCTATGTGGCTATATGCCATCCACTCCACTATTCAATTTTAATGCGACCTACAGTCTATGGTTTTTTGCTGATTGGAAGCTGGCTGGGAGCTCTGACCAATGCCTTGATCCATGTCATATATACACTTAATCTTCCCTACTGTACCTGCAGAGAAATAGATCATTTCTTTTGTGAGATCCCAGCTCTCCTGAAACTTGTTTGTGCTGACACGTCTCTCTATGAGAATACTCTTTTTGTCAGTTGTGCTGTGTTCCTTGTCATTCCAATATCAGCCATCTTAGTCTCCTATGGGAAAATTCTCTCCACTGTTTTGGGATTAGGATCAAATTCAGGGATGAAAAAGGCTTTAGCTACCTGTTCTTCCCATATGATTGTAGTGTCTCTTTTTTATGGAACAGCCATTATGAAGTACTTCCTGCCCAAATCTTATCACACTGCTGAGAAGGATGAAGTGCTTTCTATCTTCTATACTATCCTCACACCCATGCTTAACCCCCTTATCTATAGTCTTAGAAACAAAGAAGTAGCTAGCGCCCTGAGGAAAATTCTGAAAGGGTAAGCAGCTCTAAAGAACTAATGTTAAGAGTAGTCTCAGTTTCATAAGTTTATTATTATTGTAGAGAAAAATTATATACAGCAAATAAACTATTGCTTTCTTTGAACACCTCATGGCTAAAACACATAACTCTAATCGTTGACAGACTGCTAATAAGTCAGAGCACATCTTACACCCCTCGTCTGAGATTCATTCACGTGTATAGCAGAATGTATTGAGTCAGGAACACCAACTATTCCGAACTCAAAAATCATTAAAAATCGCAACTGCCATTTTGATTATACAAAAAAAGTGAAAATCTATGTAAGTATTCTACTGCTAGAAAGTTTTATAGCCTTGAAAGCTGGACAGTATGTCTCCATGATTTGGAATTGATTTGAGTGCAGGAATTTCGGTGGATTATATTTGTTTGGTTTTTATTTTTGTTTCTTGGTTTTGTTATTGTTATGCAATACTGAGTTCTCTTTCTTTCAAACCATTTTAGATGCCTTTGAGTTATTGTCATCCTCCATACAAGAGAAGGAACTCTATCTAAACCTATGACATTTTCACAATCTGTACTGAAATCTTTGCTCTTTACTAAATAGTGACAGAGGATTCAATCATTGAAATCCTTTGATTTATTTTTGTAATCACTCGTCCATATGTGTTGATTATGGATACAAGTGATTTTTTTTTTTTGTCAGGAAGACCCAATATGATTTTAATAACAAGGCAGCAGCTGGGATTAGTTCTTGTAGCCGCGGCTGGCTCTTCTGTTTTGCAAGCTCAAACTTCCGGCCCTTGGAGCAGACAGACCATAGGGTTTGGTGTGGTTGTGTGGGATGCCTGGCACCTTGCCGAAATGCCTGTGCACCTCTCGGCCCTTGCATGGCCCTGGCAGCAGCCCGGTGCTGCAGTCCTTGAGCGAGTCCGGAGGCCCTGGTCAAAGGTGAGGATCTTGCCTCCAGCCTTGAGGATGTGGCCCCGGGCCGAGCTGCTCATGCAAAGCAAGCACTGTCAGCTTGGACACCTCCTGAATCGACACGCCACCTGTTATGGTCACGACCACCACAGCTGTCTTGTTTTCTCAGTCAGAAAGCTTCATCTTTCGGATCATCGGAGAAAGGGACAGCGGCGGCCGGTTGGTGCTGCTCATGAACAGCCTCTTCAGCACAGCCGTTGGTCCGTGTGACCAGGAACCTGTAAAGCTTGACCAACAGCTGGGGATAGATGTCCTGGCTCTGGGGCTCTTTGCGCTGGACCTTTCTGTCCTTGTTGTGGTGGATGTCAACTCCCATGATGGCGCCTCCTGCTCAACCAGGTCCGGAAAGACAAGTGAAATTCTTGACAAATTCAGGCTTTTCTCCACTTATCATGCAGAGTTGTGAAGAATTCTGTTTAGTTAGTGTTGTGGTACGATTCATGCTGAAGGATATATCCTTTGAACTTCTTCAATGAGTACTTCAAGTCCTCTTCATTTTCAGCAAAAAAAAAAAAAGCCTGTCATTTGCATATTACTCATTGCACATTAAATAACCTTCAAACATGATTCCACATTCTTCTTTTATATGACAGCCACTCAGGGTGTTTGCATAGCACAAAAACTTGATGCATACCTTCCTTATTTTTAAAATATGCACTATTTTGTACTGTTAAAAAAATCCTATGTCTTTGTGCAGATTTTACGTGTGCAAAATAAAGTGCTCCAAAATCATTATTTTTCTCAATATTATCCAAAAATTGTACAACAAAACTCAATTCATTGCTGTCGAGACAGAACAGATTTAAGCTCAACGTCTAGTGGGTTTTTTGAGGCTAAAAATTGCACATGGGGAAATTGCCATCTTAGTCCTGAAGAAGACTTGGTGGAGTCAGACTACCTACTTCTATGTTTGCAGCACAACTCTTTACCTACTATTTATTATTAGAGCACCATTTATTGTTGTTGTTATTGTTATGTGCCGTCAAGTCGCCTGCAACTCATAGCAACCCTATGTACAACAGCTCTAAACCTTATTCTATCCCTTGCCAGTCTTAATGTCTCTGACACAACTACCCCGATTACCCCAGTCATGAATCAATCCACCTCACTGAGGGTCTTCCTCTTCTGAGCTGTCCCTCCACCCTCCCGAGTATAACATTCCTCTCCAAGGACTGATCCGGCCTTGCAACATGCCCAAAGTATGGTAGATGAAGCTTCAGAATCCTTGCCTCCAGGGAGCCGCCTGATTTAACCCTCTCCAGGATGAACTTGTTTGTTCTCTTAGCAGTTCATGGTATATTCAATACTCTTCTCTAGCACTACAGCTCAAATGCATCAACTCTTCTTCTATCATCCCTAGTCATTGTCCAGCTCTCTGATGCATAGCAAGTAACTGCAAAGACCAAGGTCTGTATCAGGCATACCTTAGTCTCCAGCTAACATCATTGCTCTTCAGTACTTTAAAGACGTCTCTGACAGCAGGCTTTGCAATGCAATTAATCTTTTAATTTCCTTGCTGCTGGTACCAAAAGTGTTGATTATAGAATCAAGTGTACCCAAGCTGTCAACAATCTCAATATCTTCACCATCTATCATGATATTTCCAATCATGCAAGTGAGAGAAACTTTGTTTTCTTGAAGTTTAGCTTCAACTGCTCTTGAAGGGGGCACTCCTTGACCCTCTGCAGCAAGAGCTTCAGGTCCTCCTCAGTTTCAGCAAGCAGGATTGTGTCACCTGCATAACACAGATTGTTGGTGAGTCTACCTTCAATCCTCATGTGACACTTCTCACGGAACCCAGCCTCCCAGATAATCTGTTCCGCATAGAGATTGAAAAGATATGGAGATAGGACACATCCTTGATGCACACCCTTCCCAATTTTGAACCATGCGGTGTTTCCTTGCTCTGTTCTGATGACTGCCTCCTGGACCAAGTATAGGTTTCACGTAAGCACAGGCAAGGGTTCTGGGATTCCCATTCTTCTCAGAGTCAGCCACAGTCTGTTGTGATCCACACAGTCAAATGCCTTTGCATAGTCAATGAAACAGAGACAGACATTCCTCTTGTATTCTCTGCTTTCAGCCAAGATCCATCTTACATTAGTTATTATATCCCTAGTGCCATGTCCTCTTCTAAATCCAGCCTGCACTTCAGGCACTTATGTTGTTTCCAACTCCTTTATTGTGAACAAAGCTACAGTAAACATGGGTGTGCATATATATGCTTGGGTGGTGATTATGATTTCTTTAGGGTACATTCCCAGAAGTGGAATTGCTGGGTCAAATGGTATTTCTATTTGCAACTTTTTGAGAAAGTGTCGTACTGCCTTCCATAGTGGTTGCATCATTTTACACTCCCACCAACAGTGAATAAGGGTTCCAGTTTCTCCACAACTTGTTTGCTGCTCTGTTGAACTTTGCTATTATGTGCAATTACAAAAGTGTACAAATAAATTATTGATGTATATTTCATATTGAAAATACTGGCATGTATTTCTGTACATCTGTGTTTATACATATGTGTGTTTGATTGGGATGATATTCAATTAATAGTTTTTTACATAGGTTGTTAATATATTTCTCCTCATACTAGTCCCTTTTTTTTTCTTTCTTAATTTGAGGATTCAACAAAGAAAAGGAAAACTACAATTTATAGTTCAATTCATACTATCAATTGTACTACTTATAAAATTCAAATTCCTATCTTCATACTATGAAATATTTATATTGTTACATTCCAAGAAATTTGCATTTATTTGCTTTAAACACACAAAGCATAATCACATACATGACATTGAAAAATTAGTGCGTTTATTGATCACCATACTGTGTGCCAAGAAGGGTTTCATGTGATTTTGTTTGGTTAATAACTATATAAAAATATGAGTTTTCAAGATAGTCATCTGGAGCTGAAGAGTGATCAACATTTTTCTTAACTTGCTATGGATCAAACAATTTTAAAAATTAAAGAACTCATAGGATAATGGAGTAATTGTGATGCAATCTATCTAAGGAAAGAGAAAGGCATACAGAAGACATTTTTCCTGAGGATTTTTTTTGGTAAGATTGTAACTTTGCTTGCGTCTTCATAGTAGAGACTTCTATGGACTATTTAATGCCTATTTGAGGTCCTTATACCAAGGGAAGATAAACAGATAAATTTCTATGAATATTTCTATTGACAATATTTTCTTTTACAGACTTGAATTTTGAATGATGCTGTTGTTGTTTGTTGTTATGTGCCATCAAGTTGCTTGCAACTCATTGCGACCCTATATGCAATAGCTCTGAAAACTGTTTTATCCTGTGCCATGCTTCCCTGTCTCTGACACATATACCCTCATTAGCTCAGTCACTGAATCAATCCATCTCATCCATGGGCTTCCTCTCTTGCTCTGTCTCCCCACCCTCCAAAGCATAATGTCCCTCTCCAAGGACTGGTCCCTCCTTGCAACATACCCACATTATGTCAGATGAAGCCTCAAAGTTCTTGCCTCTAAGGAGCAACTGGTTTTCACCCTCTCTCAGGATGAATCTGTTTGTTCTCCTAGCAGTCCATGATATATTTAAGAAAATAAAAAGACAAAAAACAATTAGAATTCTATCTTTGGGAAAATTTCTGCAAATAAAATTAATATTTAATATTAAAACTCTTGCATCAATGTTTGATGTTATTGTTATGTTGTTATGTGCTGTTGAGTCACCTGTGACTCATAGCCACCCTATCTACAAAATCTCTGAAGCCTGCCCTTAACCTCATTGACTTCAACACATCTATCCCCATCACCTCAATTACCGTACCAATCCATGTTACCTGAGGTCTTCCTCTCCTGCCCTGTGTCCCTCTAACCTTTCAAGCATGATGTCCTTCACCAAGGACCGATACTTCCTGGCCATGTGCCAAGTATGTCATACAGAGCTTCAAAATCCTGGTCTCCAAGGGGAAACTTGGTTTCACCATCTCCAGGAAGGACAGACTTATTTGTTTTCTTTGTGGTCCATAGTATGTTCAAGACAATTCTCTAGCACTACAACTCAA